AAGCCCGGGGCAGAGCAGCTCTGCCTTGGGCTTCCTGTAGTCAGCCGCTGGTCAGTTTCAACCAGTGGCTGAATCTGGACGCCAGTTCCGATTTACATACAAATTCAACTTAAGAACAAACCTACAGTCCCTATCTTGTACATAACCCGGGGACTGCCTGTATAAAGCTTAATTTATTAGTAAATCAAACAGTTTATTAATATAATAAGGGGAAAGGAACACAAGTAAAAACAGGGTTAAGGAATATTTAGATAGCAGGGCCTGATGAAATTCATCTTAGGGTACTTAAGGAACTAGCAGAAGCAGACTTGAAAACATTAGTGATTATCTTAACTCATGAAGGACAGGAGAGTCCCAGATGACTAACAGGCAAATATACCCCATATCTTTAAAAAGGGGAACAAAGAGGAATTATAGACCAGTCAGCCTAACTTCAATACCTAGAAAGATACTGGAACAAATTATTAAACAATCAGTGTGTAAGCATCTAGCTGACATAGAGTAATAAATAATAGCATGAATAAACATAATTTGCCAAGTCAATCATGCCAAATAATACTAAATCAACCTATTTTCCTCCTTTGACGGGGTTACTGGGATAGGGAATGCTGTAGATGTGATACATGCTGATTTTAATAAGGCTTTTGATACTGCTCAATATGGTAAAATTACTATTAGGGTGATAGTATCACTGGTTGAAAGACCATACTCAAAGAATAGTTCTCAGTGGTTCCCTGACAAACTCGAACAGTGTATCTAGGGTATGTCTCCACTAGGCAGCTTTTAAAAGTTGCCAAAATTCAGTGTGTGTGAATGCTGATTGTTAGTATTTTGTGAACAAAAGTGCCAACGCCCCCAACAAGGGGGTTTCGCTTTGTCGGCAGCAGAGCACTCCTGCCAACAAAGCAGCATTCACACTTCCACTTGCTGTGGCAAAACTTTGTCATTCATGGGTGCAGCCAATGATAAAAGTTTTATCAATCAAATGCAAGTGCAGCTATTGCAAATCCTATACCACGTATTATTCAATATTTTCACTAATGACTTGCATACTAGAGTGGAGAGTATGTTTATAAAATCTGACACACACACCAAACTAGGATGGCTTGCAAGCACTTTAGAGGATAGGATTAGAACTCGAAATAACCTTAATTAGAGGCTTGGTGTGAAATCAATATGCTAAAGTGAAATCAATATGCTAAATATGAACTGCATATGCAAAGTACTTCACTTAGGAAGGAAAAGTCAAATGCACAAATATATCATGGGGAGTAACTAGCTAGGCATCAGAAGTGTTGAAAAGGATCTGGAGTTACAATAGATCACAAATTCAATATAAGTCAATAATATGATGCGGTTGCAAAGTAGGCTATTACCATTTTGGGTTGTAGTAACAGAAAGATCATATGTGAAATCCAGGAAATCATTGCTCTACTTAGCAAGTGTGAGGCCTCATCTGTAGTACTGTGTCCTTTTCTGGGTGCCACCTTTTGGAAAGATATGGATAAACTGGAGCGATTCCGGGGAAGAGCCATAGAGATGATAAAATGTTTAGAAAAACTGACCAGGGAGAAAAGATTAAAAAGCACTAGGAAAGAAGACTGAGGGGCCACCTGATAAATCTTCAAATAGCTTCAAAGGGCTATTATAAAGAGGACTATGATGAATTGTTTTCCATGTCCACTGTAAGAGGAACAAGAATGAAGGGGCTTTATCTGCTGCAAGGAAGATTTAGATTAGATTTAGGAAAACTTTCTAAGTACAAGAATAATTAGGGATTGAAATAGGTTTCCAAGGAAGTTTGTAGAGCCCTTGTCATTTGAGATTTTTAAGAATAGGTTGGACAAACACTTGTGAGAGAAGATCTAGGTTGACTAGTTCCTGACTCAGCCCAGAAGACTGGACTAGGTGGCCTCTGGGGGTCCCTTCCAGCCCTACATTTCTATGGTTCTGTGACTGATGAACTGGGTGACTTCATCTGAAATGTTCTGGATAGATTTCAAGACAGAGATTGCAAGTTCCTTGATAGAGAAGAGTGCAGAGGAGGGAAAGCGGGAAGTAAATTCAAGGACAGAATATACAATGGAATTGTCTTGGTTTGACAGTACAAGAGTTGACCATAGAGAAGTAAAGCTTTTGATCAACTTAGTGGAGGATGTTGGTGTAGTCCAGCTCAGATTTTTTCTGAGTGGCACGAGGCATGACAGGAGCAAGTGTGGAAATAGTAAATGCCAACAGACTGCCAGGTTTGAGAATAAAAGAGACGAACAGTGTGGTAAAGAAGATTAAAAGAATCCAGAGTAGAGGAGATGACAAAGGTGACAGCTGTGACTTATGTCACTAAGAGTACATACTACACTGCGGCACTGTTTCAGGATTTGAAATAGCTATTCCACATCATTTGTTCAAGCCCATTATTTCAAAATATAACAGGCTTGCTATTCCAACGTCCCTGTATATCTTTTTCCATGAGGAGTAAGGAATGTTTCAGAATAGTGCTCTTTTCTAAATTAACTTGAAATAAGCTATGTAATTTGGGTTGCTCAAATTGCGTAGCTTATTTCAAGCTACGGGTGCAGTGTTGATGCACCCTGAGAGATGAGAGCGTAGGGAAGGAAGAAAGGAGAGGGCAAAGAGAAGTAGAGAACTCAGACAAGTTTTCTGAAGATCAGATAATCCATGAGTGATAAAACAATGGGGGAGTCTGAATGTGTAGTATTGGAGTGGTCAGAAACAGAATTCAGACAGAGATTTCTAGGCAAGTTGTTGGGAAGTAGGACAAGCTGTTGTAGTTGATTCAAGGGACACATTAAAGAGCGCAGCTAAGCTGTCTCCAAGCCAATAGTAATTTCTCTGTTCATTCAGTAAAACACATTTGTCCTTTATCTTATTGATGTAAATTATTAAATCTTACAATTTGCATTTGGCTGTTTTTTCTTAAGAAATCCTTATAGCTAAGTCTTCTGATCAAACAGTGTATTGTGCCTGTGATCTTTTCCTAACAGCACACATTCATTGAATCTCAAAATAAGGCAACCATGTGACCTGTGGAGAGGGGAGAAGTGAAAATAAATAAATAAAAATAGAC